TAATTCCTCTGGTAGGATGTCTGTTAGATTTCAAATTTCTCCAGGATTCATATCTTGAGATTGTTCATCTCCCACCTTTTTTTTTTTTTTTTTTTTTTTTTGCTGTATCCAGAACTCGTTCATAATTTTTTTGATTGGCTCTATAAAATTATGCACAACATCTGGACACAGTTTCCTCCAGCAGAAATTTATTTTTTGGGCTTCATAGCATTCACGATTTTTTAACAATACTAATGGCATTTTTAACGGTGTAATCCTTCTAGACTTTCATTGTGTTCTCTCTGGTAATTCCCTTCTATGGCATTGGCACTCCTTTCTACAGAGTACCATTGGTAATGAGCTTTAAAATTTATAACCCTCTTGTCTAGAGGCTAAATTAGAGACACTGTGGTTGATGGCAAGCAGACCACTTCCACATTTTCAGTGTTGAACTCACAGTGTTCTGGGTGGCAGTGGGGCATTGTCCAATATCAAAAGAACTGTTAAAGGCAGTGCCTTATCTCCAAAGTACTTCCTGTCTTCCGAAACAAGGCATTGATGGAAACATTTAAGAAAAAGGGTTCTTGTTGTTCAGGTCTTCTTTTTGTACAACCCAAAGACTAGCAACTGGTATTTATCTTTTCCCTTCAAGGTTTGGGTGTTATTAGCTTTGTAGAAAAGAACAGTTATGATCATAAACCCCACTGCATTCATACAGAACTGTAGAGTTAGGCTATCCCTTCTTGCCTTAGATCCTGGTGCTCACTTCTCTTCCTTAATAAATGTTCTTTGTGACATTTCTTTTCCAGAATAGGGCATTTTCATCTGCATTAAAAACCTGCTCAGGCACATATCCTTTATTTTCTATGATTTTATTAATGGTGTCTGGAACTTGTCTGCTGCCTCTTGGTTGACAGAAGCTGCTTCCCCTGTCATCTGGACACTTTTGTAAAGGTAAACATCTTCCTAGAAGTATCAAATCATCCTTTGCTGGCATTAAATTACCCACATTTAGATCCTTCAACTTTTTTTTTTTGCTTTAAGTTTTTATATAATGACTTTACTTTTTCTCAAATTATATTGAAGTCTATAGATATGCCTCTTTTATGGCAAGCCTGCACCCATATAGAAGCTGCATTTTTAATATGAGGAAAAAACTATTTCACTAAAAGCAGAATATTTTTGTGCCTGCTGACCTAGCTGCGGTGAAATATCTAGATATTTCCTTTTTTTGTAACAATGGTTTTTGTGCAGGATTCATTTATGTTGAAACAGTTGGATGATGCAGACCTCCCTCTACAGTACATATCAAGTAATTCAAGTAATTTACCTTTTTTTTTTTTATAATTTCATGATTTTTCTCTGTACTTCTAGCATCACTAGTGACACCTCATATAGCTCCATGGTTTTAGTCAATGTGTATAGGATTGCCCTAAACAGTATGAAAAATATATGAGAACCATGTGAAATCACTTTTTTTTTTAACTGTGATACAGAATTTACTGGAGAGGCAAAGTACTCATGTAGAGATAATTAAAGTTACATGGCATTTTAAGTAGATACTCTCTACAGAAGCTCACTGCATTAGCAATAGGAGGTGGTTACAAAGTAATTACAGTAGTATAGTATGCACTATGGTTAATTTTCTACAGTTATGATGTAATACTACATTCTGAAATCTGTTTGCATTTCTTTGACTGCAAATGGTATCAAGGAAGGTCTTTAAGTGTTTCTGTGCATTAATTTCGTAAATTTTAACTTTTTTTTGAGATAGGGTCTCATTCTGTTTCCCAGGTTAGAGTGCAGTAACATAATCTCATCTCACTGCAACCTCCACTTCCCTGGGGGTTCAAGCAATTCTCTCATCCAGCCTCTGAGTAGCTGGGACTACAGGCATGCACAACAATGCTCGGCTAATTTTTTTTTTTTTTTTTTTTTGGTAGAGATAGGGTTTCACCATGTTGATGAGGCTGGTCTTGAATCTTTACCTCATGTAATCTGTCTGCCTTGGTCTCCCAAAGTGCTGGGATTACAGGCATGAGCCACTGGGCCCAGCCATAAATTTCAACTTTTATAGTAGATTTGTATATGTCTTATGATAGCTAATGATAAAATAAACTAATATCTACATATATTTAATGCATTCATGACATACCTGGCTGTTTCTTAACTTCTCTATATTCTAAGCTACATGGTTTATCTGCAAGTTTTTCAAATTGTTTCATATCCTCCTAAATTTTTCTAGTATATCTATTAGAAAAAGTCTGTGCATGTGTGGACCTGCACAGTTCAAAACTGTGTTGTTCAAGGGTTTTAACTGTACTTTTCAAAATCTGTTAGGAAGGTGGATTTCACTGTAATTGTTCTTACCACAATAAAACAAAAGTAATAAATAAAAGCATAGGCCACAGAAACGCAAAGACCATAGAAGTTTGTGGCACAGATTAATGGTGCCATTACTCTTTGATCTATAAGAAAACTTATTAACGTGAGAAAATATTGACTTGATTTAAAACTATCTATTAGGTTGTTGCAAAAGTAATTGCAACTTTTGCCAATGGAAGTAAATTATTTTCAGGCATGGACAGATGTAAGCTTAAAATTGATTTACACAATCATATTGTTTCATAATCTTTAACTGAGACAGACTTTAGGAAATGATTGATTAAATCGGTGACACCATCTACATGCTAAATATGAATTTAGCAGCTGTAAAAAATGTGATTTTGATGACATATTTTCCGTTCTTACACTATTCTACACATAGAAACTAAAGATCATAACGTAGGTAGACAAGGTCTACAAAGTGTTTATTTGTCTCATACACTGTCTTAAAAACTAAAAAATTTTACATATATCCTAGTTTCTGGATTTTCTGGAAAACCAATCAGAAGGTCTTTTCAATGCTGGGCCCAATGTTACATGAAAAGAATAAGCCTGGACTGAGGGACACATGTGATTTTTGGTTTGTGGGGAGAACAGTTCACCACCACCAATTCTTCCCAGTCTAACTATCACACTCTAATTTCCTGTCCCTGACACTGTTCACTCATTTATGTTATCTCTTTGGCTTCTGTAGGTATTAGAATATACCAAAGGAAAGTTTATAATAAATTCACTTCATGCTCATCATTGAATAAGAGAAGATACAGCAAGGTCTGAACATTCAGTGATAGAAATTGAATCACCATGAATTCTAAAATATTATAATTATTTCTGAAAAGAGTGGAGAGGGTATAAAACCATTATCCTAAAGAACTTCACCACTTATTTCTGTACTCATAGTCATAAATGCAATAATGAAACTGAAGGTGAAGTAAGAGAAATAATGTATATAATGTGTAGCTACTCTAAGGCATATGAGAAAAATAGAAGATATAAAACATTTCATCAGGTATTTGCTTTAGTTTTACACTAGCAAACACTTTCCAGTTCGTGGGCCTGTTGTGATGTCTATTCCATTTTAGAAATAAATCCTTCCATCTATTTGAAGCAATCCATTGTAGTCCTGGTGGGACAGAAAATCAGATTGGCTTACTCACAAACACTAATCAGTTTTTGTTAAGACAGATACCATTCTGTCATTTTCTAAAAGAGGTAGAGGGTAAGTACACAAATGTTTATAGATCATTGTGAGAAGGGCTACAGTAAAGACATACCCTTGATGATTAATCAGGACACCTAATTTGGGACCAATGGAAAGTGGTGAAGTAAGGCTTCTCTAAAAGGAGCCACATTTGGAATAGACGTTAAGAATGACGCGAATGAAAAAGAGAGAAAAATCCTCCTAAGTGTAAATGTGAGGAAGTGTAATATTACAAGGCAAAGTAGTTCAGTTAGTAATTGAATTAAGGTTCCCTATAGTCCCTTTCATCAAGAAAGGGACTATAGGGAACAAAGTGTATTTGGAGGTAAGACGATGAGATCAGATTTTGATATATTGTGCTTTAGCTGTTCATAAGACATCTAGGAAGGAAAAAGATGAAGAAGTACTAGAGATATTAATAAGCACAAGATATAGAAGAGTATTCATTAGATTTAGTAAGTTAGGTAGAAATTGATTGTATTTTATTAGTGGTAGAAAGAAATTATAGGGGATTGAAAAACGGATGGCTGGTGAGAAGGTAAGACATCTGTTAATAATTTAGGTGGTTGTATTTTAGGTGCTTAGCTCTGAAGATAAATAGAAAAACAAAATCAGCTAGAAAGTTGTATGGAGATACAAAAAATTGCATATATGAAAGAAGATGGGAAATATAATACTTGAGTGTATTGGCTGGAGAAAAAAGATGGTGGAGGTGGAGAACAGGCAGGAAGAGGGAATCTACACCCCAGGTGGATCTATCAACATTGGCTAAAGATGGATACCTTTTACTTGGAGTTTGGTGATATGATACAGGTATATTTGTAGGAAGGAGAGCCTTCTATGGGCAGTTTTTATAATATGGCCTCTCTTTTCTCTGAGATGAGAAAGAAAACATGCTCTCAGAATGGATACAAAAGTTAATGGATTTCATGCATGTGTCTTTCTTGTTCATTCATTTGTTCTTATGCCATGCCCTCTGCTAGGGCCAGGAAAAATGACCATGACCAACATGCACAGTGAAGTATCTCAAATCACTCCAGCCATAAGTCAATGCAGCAGTAACAATAAGGCTTTAGCAAAGCAAGCTCTGAGTTCTGCACATCAACATTCAAGCCACCATTAACTACAAAATCAAATTACTTCATTGAGTCATCATTTCTGAGAGAGAGACATCTGGTTATTTTGTTATTTTGGATCTAATACTCTAACATAAGTTTGTTAAAGTTCCGTAATTTTGTATTTAGTTGTAAAAGCATGGTATAAATAGGAGCTGAATTTTATTTTTATTCTGATTATTAATGTATTTATTTTATAATTGTAAATTTTGAATTATAGTAAGTGAAGAACAACTGAAAGAATCAATTCAATTATTTGGGATAATGGTATTCTACACTTGAAAGACACCATCATGGTACCTTGTTTAGACTGTACTTACTCAGATCTACATATCCAATATCCACGTACATTTTAGCAAACACAGATCCTATTGTAAAGCCAATTATTGGACCAATCGCACCCATCCCCTTCAGAATACCTGAAAATATTATAAAACAATTGTATCAGATGCCAAGAATACACGGTCTTAATTCAACATGATTTAAAAAATAGTATTACACAATACATACCTCCAAATTCTTTTTATAACAGGTAAAGAATGACTTCAGTAGCACTACTATTTCAAGGGTAGACCCAGGGAAAGTAATCATGCAACTTATATTTTTGCACATTACCTACATAGAAAGAAGAATGTCCTTCCTTGGCAAAATCATCAATGTAAGAAAACCCCAGTGGCATTATGGGGGTTTCCCCTATTCCACAGATCACATTGCCCACAAAGACATATATCCACATGTGTGACCCAGGTTCCTTTCCACAACCTATTCAAACAAGAGAGTGTTTTATTTCAAACATCAATTTTGTCATGTCTATTAGAAATTCAGCTATTTTAAATGCTTAATTATTGATTTTTTTATTTCTAGTGATTCATATTCACTTTGTAAAATTTTAAAATACAGAGGAGCACAGAGAAAACAATTTTCTTTTGTTTCATTTCAATAGTTATATATCTTCCATTTTTAGTGTGCAAAAATGTGCATAGTATTTACCAAGCACATTATATACCTAAATATCCAGGTCATGTTATAAACTGCCTATACAGTTAACACTATATTTTGATGATTTTCTCATGTCATTAACAATTCTTTTATATCAACATTTTAATGACTAAATAGTAGTGTGTTGAATAACAGGTTCATAACTTATTTAATCAATCTCTCATTTTTTATTACATTTCTAAGTTTTTATTTTTACACAGAAATTTAATGGATATAATTGTAAAGAAGTCCTTGTGCACATTTCTGATTATTTCCTTAAGATTAATCAATAGAGGAGAATTCCTTATTGAATAGGTAAGTACATTTTTGTTCTTTTATATTGAAAATTAATCTCTAGAAGAGTTAGAAAATCACATACTCCCAGTAATACATAAAATGTGATATCCTTTTTCTCCACCTCATTTATTTTTTTTTCCTGTGTAATAGGTAGAAAAATCTTTAGTGCTATAATTTATCACTTACTTTTATTATTAGAGGTAAAAAGTCTTAAATCAGTAAAATAATTTGGATTTTTTTATGAAGAGCAAAGTAACATTATTCAACTATTTATGACACTTTCTGCTTTACTATCTTCACGTGTTCCTTATCAATTTTCTGTTGAATTTATTCTCTTCACTTACCCACTCTTAAATGCTTTTTATATACAATGTGATAATTTCTTGTTAAGTTAGAGGATTTTTTCCAGGACAACCTGAATGCATCCAAATTCACAGACTTAAGTCCTGCAGTTAGCCTTGCAGAACCTGTGTATAGAAATAGTTGGTCCTCCATGTAGGTGAGTATCTTATCCCGTTTTGTTGGAAAAAGACTGCATATAAGTTTTCAAGGGTCAACTGTGTATATTAACACTAATTTTGTCTGTATGTGTTTATAAGGATTAAATGTTTTGCCTATTTGTTTTTAAATCAATTTTGATAATAAATATCACAATAACTGTTGCAGGTATAATTAAATTTATAAATTTTTGAATATCTTTAACTGTCAACATTAATGCTTACCTTTTCCCACTATCTCAGATGATGTTCTATTGAGTGATAGAGTTTGATTAATTAAACAAGTGAATAAGGTTGATGTTGAATTTTCTGATGAATTGATATTGGTTTCTTTAGAATACCTATAACTGTAAGAACATCACTGGATCAAACATTTTCGTTATCTACTGAAAATTTTCATTTCTCCCAGAAATACAAACAATTTTCCCTTTATTTGCATCACTATCTCCTCCAAACTACCAGAATCCTCTTTGACAATTTTGCAACACGTGTTCTAGAAGTGAAGGGTGAAAATGAAAGGGAAGTATTATTAAATTGGTGCAAAAGTAATTGCAGTTTTCGCCATTATTTTCAAAGACAAAAACCACAATTACCTTTGCACCAATCTAATAACTAAGAAATATAATTCAATACTCTGCAAATAAGGTGGCTTATCACCTTGCTATTATCCCAGTACTGCTTATATTCTGATAAATATATGAAATATCTTGGTTTCACCTACTTTATTAAAACTGCTAGCTATATTCATCCTTTGAAATATCTTCAAAGATGGCCAATGTGTCTGACTTTTTTCCATGGAGACACACACACACACACACACACACACGCACACACACACATACACACACACACACAGACACTCTTTCTCCTCTTTCCCTCTTTCTACCTCCCTCTCTCTCTGTTCAGCTCTTCACAACTTAGTAAAAAAAAAAAAATGTAGTCCATTTCAGCTTGATGTGAGAACTTAATGGATATGACACAGATGGAGCCGGAATAGGATAAATGCTGACACCCCAAATTACCAAGGTGCTCTATGAACTCCAAAGGCAGCCTACTGTAGGCCAGGTATTATGCTCAGCTTAAAGAACAGAAATAAAATACACAATTTTAGTACTTGGGGGAGCTAACACTCTATAAGATAAACATATATAATAGAATATATAATCAGTTTAATATACAAGGTCCTGAGTTTTCACAAAGAAAAAAGGAATTATCAGCTTTACCTGGAAGTGCAGGGACCAAGGGAGTAGATAGATGTCATGAGGAGAATGACAGATGAAATGAATCCTGGAGATGCATAGGTTTAATAGACAAAGGAAGAAAAGCTCTCAAGGCTATAGATACAATGTATATTAAATCAATCTAATAACTGAGAAAGATAATCCAATACTCTGCAGATAGGGTGGCTTATCACCTTGCTATTATCCCAAGACTGCTTATATTCTGGTAAATATAAGAAATATCTTAGTTTCACCTACTTTATTAAAACTGCTAGCTATATTCATCCTTTGAAATATCTTCAAAAATGGCCAATGTGTCTGACACACACACATATACATATTTGTATAACATAATATGGCATATTTAGAGAAATGCAGGCCTGGAATGTGGTCCTCAATTGTAGGGAGGAATGGAAGGTTCACCTGTAATAGTTGCATTTAAGGGACATCCTTCTTACAAATTATAAAGAATAAAGAATAATAAATTAAGAAGATTAAAGAGAAAATTAGGAAGTACTGACATTATAGTGTCAGAAGAAGAAGGAAAGGGCGAGCATGATAAAGAGGCCAGGAAGATAGAAAATGAGTAAGGAGAATATGATATAATGAAAATAAGGTAGAGCAGTACCACTATGAAGTTTTTATAAGGGTCAAATATGGAAAAAAAAAAAAAAGAATTAATATGGTGACCTAATAGTGTGATTGTTGGATTTGGCAATGAGTAAGTAATTGGTGTCTCTAACAGAAACTGCTGATTGTCTCTTAATATCCCCTCTTTTCTCCTTCCATAGTAACTGAAGTCAGGCTTTTTAGCTGGGAACATGGCAGCCTGGAGTAATGTCTATTTTTTCCAGCTCTACATATGTGTGTGTGAAATGTAACTAATTTCTGGTCATGTGAAGTCAGTGGAAGATTATGCTTCTGAAAATGTTCCTTAAGCTTCATCCTGTGTGCACTTTGTTTCTTCTACTTGTTCTTCTCTTTTTCCATCCTGTCGCCAGGAAATATATTGCCGCAATTTGGCCCAGAAGGTCAAAGCCATGCAATAGGATTAAAAACAAGCAGAAACATATCATCCTTGGAATGGTTACATTAACTTCTTTGTGAAAAACAAGCTTCCATATTATTTATGCCACTTAAAATTCTTTTCTCATGAGCATCTTACTGTAGTCATAACTGTACAGTGACTTCAAAAAGAACAGCCTCTGTGAAATGATGGTGGGAAAACCTACAGTGTAGTGGGTTAAGTGTTGACGTCTTACTGGGTATAATCAAAATCTTATACACAACAACATAAGGTGTATATGTTATATGAAAAAGTCATGAAGAGTGCTCATTTATTTATATGAAACTGTATACTTTATCTATTGTTATTTGTATTTCAGTCTTTGAAAGCCATGACAAATACAGCAATAAATCAATTATAATGTAGAAAATATAAACCATTTCTATACCTACTTAGTGAGTATTCTTCTCAAAAGGTAACTGCCTACTTAAAAGGATAAAAATAAAATTCTACTACTAATTTACAAATTAACAATAATTAATGGCACAGAGATATTTAACACTTACTATCCCATGAAGAAATGAGGCAAAGCCATAAAAATACTTCCAATTCCCGTAAGGAAAGAACCGATTCCAATTATCTTTGGTCTGTGTAGTTTGGATCCAAAATAACTTGCAAATAAAATCACAAGACAATTTCCTAGAAAGATAACAAAATTATGTTGATACAACTTAGTCCAGTTTTGTGTTTGGTAGAACTAAAGATCCCAGAATGGAGGCAAATTGAGCCCAGTACATAGTACTTTCCCTCAAAGTCCGGGGTATTTAATTGAGAAGATACACTCACCGACAGTAAAGCTATCATTGAAAAATTGTATGGTACTAATAATAAGTAGAGTAAGTTTTACATACAAAATAAAGCACTTGGGTTATTTGGCAATATTATTGAAGAGAAATTTTATTAAAAATCTGGAGTTGACTGGATTGTATAGGAATAAACAAAATCCTGATCTCAGGGAAAGCTAGTCACTCGAGCATTTATTCACTTATTCCTAGTGTTCTTTAAATTTCTATTATGTATGTATGGTAGTATTCAGAGCCAGAACAAGAAAAATTTTAGGGAAAATGTAAAACAGATGGATAGAGGTGTTATTAGAGTATAGAAAGATGAGGAGTTAATTAGGGGCTTCAGAAAAGTTTCCTGGAGGAAAGGTCATTTGAGATTTAAGGTTAGGTATAAATTATTTAAATTAAAAACTGGAAGAAAAGCATTCTAAGTAGACCAATTCAGATGTATCTGGAGCCTCATGTGTAACAAAGAACAATGAACAAGAATTACTGAACACTGGTTGAAAAAAATAGTGTGAAAGGAAAGCACCAAAATGAACCGGCAGATAAAGTCAACAAAAGAAGCAACACATAAATTAAGGATTAAACTAAAAAGAGTAGAAACTAAAGAAAAACATCGTGTTAGTATTTTTATAGGTACAAGGAAAGGTTGTATCCATAAAATCAGAATTGGCATCCTGGAAATAATAAGAGAACAACAAAATATCATTGTAAATTAAAAATATATGAGTTGGAACTCGATAATCAATATGATGGAAGATGGCATCAAAGAAAACTGAACAAACATACAAAAAGTAAAAATTTACAAGAAAAAATGTAAAGGGAAAAATACTCCCCAATTTTATGTATTTATTTGTTTATTTATTAGACAGAGTTTCACTCTTGTTGCCCAGGCTGGAGTGGAATGGAGCAATCTCTGCGCATTGCAAACTCCACCTCCCGGGTTCAAGTGATTCTTCTGCCTCAGCCTCTCAAGTAGCTGGGATTACAGTACAGGCGCCCACCACAGTGCATGGCTAATTTTTGTATTTTTAGTAGAGATGGGCTTTCACCATGTTGGCCAGGCTTGTCTCGAACTCCCAACCTGAGGTGATCCATCCACCTTGGCCTCCCAAAGTGCTGAGATTACAGGCATGAGCCACCGCTGTTGGCCATACCCATCAAACTTAATGTTCATCTTATATATGATTCAGGAGGAAAGAAATAATAAAGTAGGGAGAGAATCAAATCAGAAACAGAAAATAAATAATTCCCTGAGCTAAAGGAAAACACAAGCATTTAGTTGTAAGTGCTTACATTTCTTGAACAGAGGTAATGCAAAACGAGAAAATGAGACCATAGAAATAAAGAGGAGATGCATGTTCAGAGATAAAGAGAAAGTGCATGAGTATGATACTGGTAGTAATTTCTTTCAGGTAAGTTCTCAGCTTTATGCAAAATTTCTCTCTATTTTGATTTAGACTCAGGGCGTATATGTGAGGTTTGTTACAAGGGTATATTTCATGATGCTAAAACTTAGGGTACAATTGAACCTTTCACCCAGGCAGTGAACACAGAACCCAATAGGTAGCTTTTTCACACTTTCCCTTCTCCATTCCTCCCCACTCTTGTAGTCCCCCTGTGTATTGTACTGCAATGATTTCTTATATGAAACATTGAGTGTGATAACACAGTAGATAAATGTTGTAAATATTCTGAGTAAAAATATTTTCAATTTTTAATTCCATACTCAGACAAATTTTTGCTTGACTATGATAATAAACACATTTTTCAATGAGCAAAGGCTCATAAGGTATCCCATGTGTTCAATTCTTTCTGGAAAGTAATAACTACAGTCATGCTGAGTGTTCAAGGAAGATGAGCTCTAGGATATCCTGCAGATACCAAAATTCTTGGATGCTAAAATCTGTTTTATACAATGGCATAGGATTATGTAAAACCTATGCACATTCTCCTTGTCTACTTTAACTCATCTCTAGATTACTTATAATACCAAATACAAAATAAATGCAATGTAAATGGTTACTATAGAGTGTTGTTTTTATATTCGTTTCTATTGTTATAGCACTATTGTTAATTTTGATGTATTTTTGAATAATTTTCATCCACAGTTGTTGAATTTGTGGCTCCGTAACCTGCAGATACAGAAGATTGTCTATTCTTGAACATAAACTCCAGAAAAACTAAAGATGAGACTTGAAGCCACAAGATTCAAGAAACAGATGTAAGCCAAGAAACTAAAGTTATAATTATGTTCAAATCATTGCTGATGAAGAGCTGCAAAGTTTAATAATAACATAAAGAATTCATTTCTTAATAAAAATACATATGGGAAGTTAAAATTTAAAACTAACAAAATTCTAATTATAAAATTCTAGATGCTTTCATTAAGCCTGGAGCATGGAAAAATTAAGGACGTGTAAGATAAAATATCCTCTGAATCACAAAAATTCAGAATTTAAAAGAAAGAGAAGCCTTCCTTTATGGGATTACTTTAAAAATGGCCATTAGTTAAGCATACTGTAAATAAAGTTAAAAGATAATCAGCCAACTTGTAGAAAATATTTGCAATCTATAAAATAGACATAATTTTGGGGTCTCTTTAAATAATTAAAAGGTTAAAAGAAAAAGGAAAAAAGGCAGTGAGCTATCAATTCAGGAAATAAGAAAAAATAATTTTCAATAATTGTATAAAATCTATTTTTAGAGAAATCCAAAATTAAAATTAAGATAACAAATCAATGTCTTCAATGTTCTAAAAACAACTTTTAACCCTAAATTCTGTACCCACTTGGATACTAAATGTCTAACTTAGTTTGCTCCAAAGTGGTTCCTCCCACATAAAGCCACAAAAATTATAGTCCTTTCTCAACCTGTCTTCACACTGGGGCATCCTGAAAACGGGGAGGTAAAACCTTTCAAGTCATTTGTTTGCAAGGAATGAGTTTGTGTAGGATCTGGGTGTTTTCAGCATGTTCACTATCAACAGTTTGGACTAGATAATTTTTTCTTGGGTCTATACTGTACATCGTTGAATGTTTATCAGTATCCTTGGCCTCTATCCATTGGTGCCAGTAGTGTCTCTCCCTACCCGGCAGTGACAAACAAAAATCTATTCAGATACTGCCCGTGGGACAAATTTAACCCCGGCTGAGAACAAGTGGTATAAGTAGCCATCCCCAAACTTTTTGGCACCAGGGTCCAGTTTGGTGGAAGACAATTTTCCATAGATGGGGTGGGTTGGGGGCGGATGGTTTCAGGACGAAACTGTTCCACCTCAGATCATCAGACTTTAGTTAGATTCTCAGAAGGAGTGGGCAACCTAGATCCTTCACATGCGCAGTTCACATGAGGGTTCGCGATCCTGTCAGAATTTAATGCCTCCGCTGATCTGACGGGAGGCAGAGCTCAGGTGATAGATAATGCTCACTAGCCCACCACTCATCTCCTGCTGTGCAGTCCAGTTCCTAACAGGCCACAGATGGGTATTTATGAACAGTTGTTGCTGTTGTTTTACCTCTGCAAACCTGGATTAATTTTTTTTTTAAAGTTACCAATGTCAAAGCCTCCATCAATTAAACCAGCAAGAGAAGAGGATATGCCAAATCTCCTTTCTATTTGAGTGATGGAACTTTTCATAATGCTTGTATTTAGTGTCCTAGCAATATGGCTGAATGACAGGGCTGCCAAGAACATCTGAGAAAAAGCAGAAGAAAAAGAGAAAATTGGTTAATCAAAGAACTCCATAATATTTATAGGTACATAGAATTAAAATAACTTTTCTTCTTTACTTACAAACATTTGTATCATAAAAAGCATGCCTATTTTTCCATATACCAAGTGGTACTTCTCAGGGCTTTTAATATTAGAACTACACTGAAAAAGCATGGTTTTCCAAGTTGGTTACACTTGTCAAATTATTATAGCAGTTCAGTTAAAACTGTTTTTTAAATTAATGCCATTAGCATATTTATAGAAAGCTAGACACTGTTCTCAGATGGCCATGATGGTAAACTATTCTTTATTTCCAACTGACTAGCATAGGCTGTGAAGGGAGTGGCAGTGCATTCTCAAAGAGCATTTCAATGAGGCCAGCTGAAAAATGAAACTTGACATAGGTAAAGGAAAATTCTACGACCAATCTAAATGAGTGACATTTAGCCTAAGATGCAGTGGTTATAGATGTGTTAATTTTCAATTTCATTTTAACAAAATTTATTGATTTATTCTTCCTCTTATAGCTCACATCCACAGCTACACACTAGTTCCTTTTGACCCTACTATTAAAATCTTATTGATTGCATGTTTGTGTTTCCCCAAATTTGTATGTTAAAATCTTAATTTTCAGTGTGATGTTACTGGGGATGGAGCCTTTGCAGAGTAATTAGGTCATGAGAGTAGAGCCCCCATTATGGGATTTGTGCCCTATAAGAAATAAGTCTCTCTCTCTCTCCTCTCTCTCTCTCTCTCTTTCTCTCTATCTCTCCCCTCTTTCTTTCACATGAGGATACAGTAGGAAGATGGCCATCTGTAAATCAGGAAGAAGTTCCTTACAAGAAACCAACCGCACTCGATCCCTAATCTCAGGCTTCTCAGTCTCTAGTAATGTGACATACTAATTTCTGTTGTCTCAGTCACCAAATCTTGGCTATTCTATTAACCTGAACTAAGAGACTACTTCTCATAACCTCCTGCACTCCCAGTAGTCTCTACCACCACTTCTCAACTCAATTAGTGCAACAGCTTCCTGATACAGTTTTCTAGTTCTTCTCCCATCTGCCTAATAGTCTCTTCTAAACTTAGTAGCTAGAGAAATACTTTCAAAATAAGAATTACATTATGCTTCCACTGTGTGTCTTCTCATGTGATTTATAGTAATATGAAGGCTTTCCAATGACTTATAGGGCCATAAATGATCTGTTCTCTCTTCTGAACCTCCCCCAAATAATAATCCCTTTTATCTTTCTAAGCTTACGTTGTTATTCATTTCCTTGCTCATTCCTCTTCAGCTACATTAGACCTCCTTGTTATACCCTGACAATTCCAGATTTATTATATTGTCTCAAATTCTTTGTCTTTGAATTTTGTTTGCAGCAAAAGTTCTTACCCATGTGTTCTTTCTATCACCCTGTCCTTCTTATTCTTATTCTTATTCTTATTATTTTGAGATGGGGTCTTGTTCTGTTACCCAGATTGGAATGCAATGGTGTGTTCTCAGCTCTGCCTCCTGGGCTCAAGGGATTCTCCTGCCTCAGCCTCCTGTGTAGCTGGGATTACAGGTGCATGCCACCACACCTGGCTAATTTTTGTATATTTAGTAGAAACTTGGTTCCACTATGTTGACAAGGCTGGTCTGGAACTCCTGACCTGAAGTGAGCCACCTGGCCTCCCAAAACACTGGGATTACAGTCATGAGCCATCACACCCAGCCCTTACAATGTACTCTTAAACAACAAAAAAGTTTTAAAAAAAGAAATCACAAGGAAATTCAGAAAATATGTAGAGACAAATAAAAACACAGCATATCAAATCTTATGGGAGTCAGTGAAATCACTATTAAAAGGGTAGTTTTTAGTGGTGGATGATTATGTTAAAAACAAGGAAAAATCTCAAATCAACCATAACTTTACCTTTCAAGAAACTAGGAAAATAAAAAAAGAATACAGAACATAAAGTTAGGAGAAGAAAGGATATAATAAAGATTTAGATTAGAGGTGACTAAATAAGAAAACAGCAAAACAATAGAAAAAGTCACCCCAAGAGTTTGTTCCTTGAATATATTAACGAAATTTTCAAACCCCTAGGTAAAGTAGGGGAAAAAAAAAAAGAGAGAAGACTTAATTAGCCAAAATTAGAAATAAAAGAGGAGACTACAATGAATAATTTTATTCCAACAAATTGGAAAACCTAGAAAAAAAGATTCAATTTTTAGAAGCATACAACCTGAATCATAAGTCAGTAAATAATCTGAAAAAGCTACAACTAGAGTGAGCATTGAAGTAGAAATCAAGGACCTTCTGACAAAGAAAAGCCCAGGATCAGATGATTTCACTGGAGAATTTTACCAAACTCTTAAAGCTGAATTGACATTAATTGTTTTTAAACTCCTTCAAAAATTGAAGAAGAGAGTACCTGCCCAAATTTATTCTATTCAGCTAGCATTACCCTGTTACCAAAATAAGATAAAGATACAAAAAAGAAAACTACAGACAAATATTTCTGTTGAATATTAATGCCAAAATCCTAAACAAAATACTAGCAGATTGAATTCAACAGCACATCAAAAGCATATCATGTCATGACCAAGTGGGATGTATACCTGGAATACAAGAATGACTAAACATAAAATAATAATCAATCTAATACATCACATTAAGAAACAACAAAACCACATGATTATCTCAATAAACACAGAAAAAGCATTTGAAAGACATCTACTTTCACTACTAACAATTGAAACAGGGCTAGAAGTTCTAGCCAGAGCAATTAGACAAAAAAAAAAATAAAGGGCATCTAAATTGGTAAAGAGGA